AAAAACTATTACTTTGTAGTTTTTAAAAATAAAAATAAAATTTTAAAATTAATTTCTCAACAATTATCTCATCAAATTGAGCTAAATTTTTTATGACCACAACAAAAATCATTGTATTTTAATATACTAATTTTTTAAAATTTTAACTTTAAGCTTTAACAATATATTAATTTTTCTTTAATTTCAATTAATTTTTTTATTTTTTTAAAAAAAAGTATCCCAAATTTTGCTCTCATGCAAACTTTTTCTAGTGATTAAAAAATTTTCAAAAAATGCACATAATCTAAACTATGTACATACTAATTTTTGTAAAAGTTTCAAGGTTATATCACTTCTCTATGAGGAGATATAGGTGTGGGAAAACTTTTATTGGGCACTGTATTTCACCTTTGGGAGAATTTCAGTTTCGCCTTTCAGATTTTGGAAATGGATTTTGCCTGCAACACTAAACATAATAAAAGTAAGAATGAATATTTTTCTGAATTCAAAACAATAATATTAAAAGCTTAAAATAATGAAAAAAAAATGAAGGGAAACATGCTTTTTTGAAAATAACAAGATGGTTCGAGTAAAAATAATGTTAAAAGCTTAAGACTAGTGATATGAACTGCTTATATCCAGATGAAAAAGATTACACAAAATCAAATCCGGATAAAATTGATTTACCCAAAATCAAATCCGTATCTATATGGATTGATCTGCAATTCGAACAGTTAACTATATAGTTTATATAATTTGAACAGTTGATCAGCAATTCGTATAAACTGTAAAGTTTGTATAGTTTGAACTGTTGATCAGCAATTGTATTAACTGTACAGTTTGTATAGTTCATACTAGTGATGTGAACTATTCAAATCTGTGTAAATTTCATTAATTCGTTTTTTACAAATCAAACAACAAATATTATCATATCTAAATAAGTAATCTTCTATATTATCGAATAAAACTAAATTCTTAATAGCTAACTATAGTTTTAATAGTTAACTGTAGTTTGATGTTTATAGCAAACTATAGTTTAAAAGTTAACTACAGTTAACTATAGTTTAATAGCTAACTATAGTTTTTACAGTTATCTATAGTTATCTATAGTTCAAGTACTGTATATTACCGATTAAAAGCAACCCCTCAGATTTTGGAGCCAAAAATTTAACTACAGTTATTATGTTTTACTAATAAAATTGTACTCGAATAAAAGCAACCCCTTCATTTTGGCTCGAAAAAGTTCTCATTTTTTTTTGCAACATTTTGGTTGCTTCTATTCGGTAACATACGGTAGTTAACGCAGTTTTAATATTTGACCGTAGTTCAAGTAGTTGATCAACAAAAAGCATACGGATGATCCGGATTACACAAAAATACGGATTTCAAACAGTTATCCGGATTGTCGATCAACGGATCATATCACTACTTAAGACCATGAAAAAAAATGAAGGGAAGCGTGCTTTTTTGGAATAACAAGAACATGGTTCGAGTAGAAACAATGATGTTTTTGTTCTATTAAAATTTGTAATTTTATTATTATCATTAGAATTTTTTGATTGGCACAAATTATTTGGACTGATTAATGTGCACCCAGTGTTGGGCTCTGGACCAAAGTCCACTCAACTGGGCTATAAACTGGACTACTGGACTTATAAGTCCAGTGGACCATTTATAAGTCTAGTTCCAGTTCAAGAATTGCAAAAAATACGCGAATCAATTTTCATACAATCTAAAGTATACGAAATTTTTTAGGGTGGCGATCTTACCCTTAATGCTGGTTACAATTGCGCAAAGGCATTTAGACCAATTTCATTGGTCGGTATAAATCATGTGATTAATGAGACATTTTATAATTTTTGGAGGGTGGTCAGATGAGAGGGGGATGATATTAACCGAGGTTTTAACTTTGAATGGCTTAAAGCTAGCCTCCTTAATATCTTATAATTGTAACTATGTAAGTTACTTTTTTCAGGTAAATTGTCCTAATTCTAATTACACTTCTTTATCCAAAATTTTTGCGATTGTCCAAGCATTAAAAGGCCAATTTTTAAACCTAATACAGTTAATTTATGTATAAATAATCTTTTAATAATAACACCCAATCAAACTTGGGAATTTGTAAACGCGCAGGTTGATGCCTATGCTTAAGCTTTACAGTATTTTGAAAAGATAACCCATTTACTAACCTAAAATGTCTTGTTTTTCCGATAATTATTTTGATGGCATAAATTTTAGAGAATTTTTGTGAAATCTGTGAAATGCGCAATGACATGCATTGCGGAAGAATTAACCGCGTTGTTTACACTTTCAATTATATTATTGGTTACGGAATATTGTAGGATGGAAATTGCTAGTTGAGCAGTGATTTACATACTTACGCGTAATCATGAGATCTGAAAATTTGGCGCTTAAATGTTACACGAAAATCATGAACTTAAGATGCATACTAAAAACATGAACCAGGTACCGGAAAATTGACCGTATGAAGTACTTATATACATATACGAGTTATTATCGGTAATCCCAAATATATAAGTCGGAACAATGGAAAAATGGAATAACGGTAAAATCGGAAATAATATTTTTAGATTATCTATTCAAACGAGTATTCTTATTAAAACCCTAAATCGCTTGTGATTTATAAATATAAATAACATTAGCTACAACACGAAATAAAATTGACAAAAATTTATTCATTAATCATGGAGGAAAACGGTGAAATGAAATTTCATATTGAGACACTAAACACAATGCGTGCTAAATATAAAGGAAATACAAGACCTAAACGTTCGAACTCGTTATATTGCAGTTACCAAAAAGTGTATAAATTAGATCAAAAACGTCAAAAACGTCAAAAACGTTCCAACTCATTACCCACAAATTTTGGAAATGGACATAAAAACTTTTCTGAATCAGGTTTTAATAAATGCTCCTCACTTTATTATGGATGTTATAATGATATAAACGGTAAAAATAAATTGCAACCATTTGTCATAAGCCCTATTACAAATTACTAATTGTTAATATTCTTTATATCTGTCATGCTGCATATTGCATTCAAAGACCAAGTTCTTAGGGCATCACATATGATTAATCCGATTAATCCAGACTATTTGTCATTCAATGATAATGTTGACATTTCATTATGTGTTGATAATTTATCGATCACCTCGCATGGTATTTATTACATCTTTACTAGTTGTATAGTTAAGTCGTACAAATTTATTAATGCTTTATATTTATGTCTATTAGTGGAAAATTCTATTGCCAGAGGCGGTAATGCTCTCGAACAATTAGCTTTAAACCAGGAATTTAGTATGAATGACATGTATAATACCATTGAATTGAACACGTCAGCCTTGCAGCTATTTTACCAAAATGGAGTTTTTATTATATAATTAGTTGAATATTCATGTAAATATTCATTTACACGTATAGTCAATTGTCGTATTTTTAATATTGTTCTAACAACTAATAACTTACATATATATATTAATAGTTAATAGCAGAGAGATGCAGCTTCTTCATATCATAATCGTCTAAATCTTATTTTAGTTATCAAAAATTTAAATTAATGATACTGTAGATGTAATTTTCTGGAAGCTTATTATTTATTTTATAAAAATTTCATAATCTTCAACTTTATTGACCAATTTTGTTTTATATGAATAAAGTAGTCAAGTTTAAATGCTTACCAATAAATTAAGTTATACGTGACGGTTATATTTGGCGAAATTTGACGAAACTAAAATAATAAAAACAATAAAAAAAATTTCATAGTTATTGTCGTTTTGGATATATGGGTTTTTGCCTTGAAAATGACCTTACGGGACTATGTAGATTTTATGAATAAAAATTAAAATTTCTGGCCATCTAATAATCTAATTCAATTGATTTTTTTTATTTTGCAGAACTCGCCAAGCTTTATAAAATAAAAAAAGTTTATTTGAATTGGATTACTGAATAGTTAGAATTTTAATTTTTATTCATAAAATCTACATAGTCCCGTAAAGCCATTTCAAGGCAAAGACCCATATGTGTTTTTATTTTTATATAAATCATTGCAATTTTAAAAATTCAAAAAAATTAAATGAATAAAACTTGCTACTTTATACCTTTTCGCTAATAAAGATGTTCACCTCCGAGCATTATATATTGAATGAATTGTATTATTTGATTATATTATAATATTCTTTTTACCTTTTCCTTTTATATTCTTGATTCTTGTTAAAATGTTAAACGAACAATATTATAAGAATGAAAAGCGGAAATATATGTACGTATGAATACTCGTTTAGTAAAATTAGTTTCCAGTGTAACATTAACGGCGGCCATTAATTCCACAATTACGTATAATAATGATCCTAAAAACTTTGTTATAACAGAATTTCTATTAAAATTGCTTACGCATCTACTTACATGAGTTTAGTTGGCTATGAAATAAATTCCAACATCGACGCATTTACTTATTTCGCAACATATTATGATATATTATTATTTGTATTATTTTCACGTGTGATTAGTCAAATTCTCCGTAATTTCCGAAAAGGAAATTTCAATGCTCTTGAATTGTAATCACTGTTGTATTCGGAGAGAAGCACAAATGAAGTCTAAGTTAACCAGTAGTGATTCGAAACAGTCTTTAGTTTGTCAAAGGTTAAAAAAATATAAGCATTTAAATATGCATAATTTCTTATAAATGACATACGTACTAGTGAAATATCGGCTATACAAGGAACGGAGTTATTATTATAGGATTGTGATATGATATGAAGAATGTACAAATTTGTAAATATGATTGGATGATCATTACACATGACATCATGCGTATCCATATTTATTTCAATAATTTTGATTGGCTATGTGAGATCCCCTTTTTAAAGTTTAAAACTTTGATAGAAACAACTACTGATCAAATCCGATGAAATTATTTTTTATATAACTTTATAATTAAGATAAAAAATTTCATCGAGCTTGTCGGACAGTTATTGAGAAATATTCACTTAAAATTTTTAAAAAAACCGTTAATATAGTGTCTTGCATTTCACTTTATTGATATGAGGATACAGATATTTTATGGATTAGTGAAGTTCGAATGCACATTTTCATTTGATTTTATGCTTTATTTCTATAATTATTCGAATCGATTCCTGATTTGACTTTAGAATAACAATTTCTCGAATTTTCTTGTAATTAATATATGCTTTTAGCATTCATTAAAGAATTTACGAGCCGAAATGCTATCATAATTATTGTTAATTAAAAGAAAAACTTTGAGGACACTTAAAGAGCGATCATTTTTTTGCTTCATATGCACGATACGTAATTAATTAATGACATTTTTAAGCACACCCTCAATGAAGCCAGTTTAATCAGCCAGACCAATTAGGTTACTTATTGAGTCCATTAAAAAGGAGATGCGTGAAAACGCCTCAAAGCTGCTTTATTGATATTGATATAATTTATGGCAACGCACCTAGAAAATGTGTACCAAGTTGGGTTCGAATGATAGTCCGATAGTCCGGAAATAGTCTTTGAATTTTTTTTATTTTATTTTTCATAATATAATGCAATATTTAATACAATTTAAAATATATACATAACACAAAGAAATAATACAAATATTATTTTTTAATCATTTGCTTGTTTTCCTGCGATGATCTTCGGTAAATCAAGTACATTTTTGCTGATGCTTTTTTAAGTCCTTCATCTCAATTTGATTGATATTTCCTTCTGAATATTCGCTGACATTAATGTGAAATAGGTAAGACACCAACTTGCCTATAGATAAAGGTTCGGATTTTTTGTATCCTTTTTGAAATGTTCAATCCGGCAAGAAATTAGCTATGATACTTAATGTCACTAATAACATGTTGAAAAAACTTTTCAATAAAACAAAAAGTAGACAAAAATTAAACAGAATGACGCTTTCCAGACATTTTTTATACATGCAGCATATACAAATCTTTTTATAAGGAAGCTGTCATAGATACTTGCCGAACGGCATAGATTTATCTAAGTCCTAATTTGCGTTATACCTAGAGATGTGCGAATGCAAGTTTTTTTGGCATTGCATCACATAATGCAGCATTATGTCGCATCATGCATTATGTAATCCTGTGCGAATAATATAGATATCTCAAAACCTATATGCAGTGAACAAACTTTGTATTATTACTGAGAGGTTATCGGATTCGAAAACATAAACTATTAGGGTTAATAGTGGAAACAGACCTGGTAGATTGATTTTTTATTTGATTTCACGGGCTATTGATATTTATAGGAACAAGTGTCTATAAAGTGATTGTTGATGAAATGACATAGATCAAAAATACATAATAACTTCTATGTGCATTTTTAAATTTTAGGCAACTTGCATCGCATTATACAGCATTATGTAGTATTCAACATCGCCTGCATAATGCATACGGCACATCTCTAATAATGATACATTTTTTGAGTGAAATTTAACTGTGCTTTGATATTGATAACATGATTATATAATTGTTCTATATATTAAAAATGTAATGATAGCTATACACCTGATAAATTTTTTAAATTCGTCAAATATTCGAACATCGGTCAAAATTTTTTACCAATGCTCAAAATTCTAGAGTTTGCAATCAAACAATGCTCGAAACTTATCTATTCCACTTTCTACATACGGGATTTTAATTTGCTCTTCTTAAGAACCATAATCCATGTTATATTGTTAAACAATATTCCAATAATTGGCTATTCTCAGTTACTAAAAGCTATCCACTGTTTTTATTAAGATTACAACCTTTAATGCGAAAAATATTCTTTATTATTACTGTTGTAAATAATTATACATGTTCGATCAATTTGATTTAATATAAATACTAAGAAATCGGCTTAGAAACAAGTTGACTATAATTATACAGACATTGATATCCTCTCATTCAATGCTTATTTTTATTTCTCTTTTATTATTTATTGGCAATATAATAATTTGTATTAAATATATTGTCTAGCCAATAAGAAATATAAATATTTACTATTTATTCTCATTAATTAATCGGTGAGCATGATTTATTTGCGTTAAATATAAGTGCAAGAATTACTAATATATTATCTAATAAAGAATTAAGTTACCTGAAATGCACATATTGTAAGGAAGATAACAGAATAAAGCAAAAGGGACAATATACCAACAAAGTTAGCTAGCATTAGCTATAATGCCAGACAGTAACTTAATAAATTGTGATAGAGAATAGGTTATATTTATGATATACATAATGAATACATATTATTTAACCACTTTCGCTTATATATTATAGCACCGTATTTAAAACCAAAAAGTTACAATATATTTTATTCGGGGCCTAAATTTTCATTTAAGCTATTAGCTTCACAAAAAGCTTTTATATTATTCATAATATATATAATAAAGATGTTTCATGAGACTACATTCTTGATTGTGAGTAATTATGGGATCAATAACTGACAACATGCATTTTTTACATCCTAAACAATTAACTATACTTAAATTATAAGTTCATATCAGCGATTTGTGGTGTTAACCTAAATTAAGGCTGTAGATTACAACAATGTAATTGTAAAATGACCTAACATTTCAGCTACGCATTATATATCCTGTAATTGTTAAACACAGGGACCTTAATTTAGATGTTTCAAAACAAATAGATATAATTAATAAACTAGGTGACTAAACTAATTATAATTTTCAAAAATTAGATCAGAAGTAGGAGGGAAAACAAAAGTAGCTATTGTTTTCTTAGGTTCAACTTTACCACTTTTAGTTCTAATATCATACTTTAAAACCAATTTATGCATACATATTTTGATTATATTAGTGGCAAGAAATCTACCTGGACATGCATGTTTGCCACCCCCAAAAGTTATATAACTTTTCTCAAGTTTTGTAAGTGAGGTATGAATGATTTTACCACTAGAATATGAAGTCATATGTCGGTTTGGGTTGAATTCGTTTGAAGTTTTCCCATAGAATTGACTACTTAAAGCTATATCTTTTATACAGATATTAACAAACCGGTCTGTATAATTGTTGAATAATAAAATTATTGTAAAATGTAAAAATAATTAATATGAAATTGAAACAAATTTAACAAATTTAACATTTAATAAATTTAATAATTTAACAAATTTAATAAATTTAAACAAGTTATATAAACAAATTTCAAAATAAACATACCTTTTGGTATAGTAGCACCACTTTTGAATTTATACAAATCCTTAATCATAAAGTGTGGTATAGCAGCTAATTTATGAAAGAAATAAACAATATTTAATCAATATAATAAAACTATTAAATTTATTAAACATTCACAATTATTAAACAATCAAGTGAGATTACCGAAATTAGAAGAATGTCTAAATGATTCTTTTATAAAGC